ATCAGCTTCAGAGACTTGTGATTGCAAAGCCAGCAATTCAGAGAGCCTCTGTGGCGTAGATTATTGTTATTGAGAAAGGTGTTGCCGATTTTAATGTTAAAAGGTGTCTTAAGGGAGTTGTTGCCAAAATCATTAGGTTCCATCAAGGGAGAGAATTTGGGATTTGTGCCTGCTGGCAGGGGAGGAGCATTTGGAGTAACCGGAGCAGGGTTAGTAAGAAAATTCTGAAATATCTTATGTTGTTCTAATTGGGGCTCTTGTAAGGTATCATCGTCTAATTCACATCCATGTAATAAGTGTTCTGCCTGTTGCCGAATATCAGGAGGGCTAGAATTACCTTGAAATTGCAGAATCACAACTTCAATGAGAGCCCATAGGGGCCAGAAATCTATCAGAACTACCTTCATTAGGGAACGAAGGGTTACAATCAACCACTGTCTGAAGGCAAGCCTCCATTCGCTGGAGTGAAACCAAAAATCCCTGAACTTTAAATAAGTGCTGAAGTAAAGTAGAAAAGTGAGGGGGCTTTCCAGCCAACTGACCCATGTCTTAATACTTACCAGCCTCAATAGGCCCCGGGGGTCACTCCATCCTAATCTTGCCCTGTGTACCAGAATCCCTGTTTCCGGGCGCCACTTGTTGGTCCTTTAATGGACAAGAACCTGGTGGTCTGGAGTCAACGATAAGAAAATAAAAGAAAGAAAGAGGCTAATATTCCCTGGGTTATGCAGCTGGCTTTCGCGTTCCAGGGAATCAGCCAGAAATAGAGAGATAAAGAGAAAGAGAGGAAGAGAAAGAAAGACACGGGACCAAAGCTCTGATGGAGCAAAGGAGTTTTAATCAACATGGCGTGGGCATATATACTATCTTACAAGGTAGTTATTCTCAGCAAAGATAAAGATTAAAATTACAGACTTACAAAACACAAGGTGATCCCTATTAAAGAGAGAAGAGGGTACTTATCACCATAATGAGAAACTAACAAAGGAAAAGCCTGGATTCCTCAGCCCCAGGAAAGGCGTGCCTCTCCTCTTAATTCCTGAATATTCAGGAATTAATAAGGGCCAAAAGTTTCCTGACAGATCCGTAAAAGCACGCAGGGAGCCTCCTGTTAAATGCTGCCTGACAGGTCAGGTTGAGTCACAGAGTAAAAATGGAGTGTTTGAAATTTTTACCCTTGTCTTTTTCTCGTATCGGGCCCTGATTTTCAATGAATTTGAGTGCTTTTTCCAGTTACTTTTATTGGCTTCCTTGGTGGCTCAATGGGTAAAGAGTCAACCTAAAGTGCAGGATACCTGGGTTTCATCCCTGGGTCGGGAAGATCACCTGAAGAAGGAAATGGAACCCACTCCAGTATTATTGCCTGGGAGATTCCATGGACAGAGAAGCCTGGCGGGCTGCAGTCCATGGGGTCTCAAGAGTCAGACATCACAGAGCAGTTGAAATTTTGGCCCTTGTCTCTTCTTTACATCAGGCCCTCATTTTGGGCGAATTTGAGTTCTTTTTCCTGTTATTTTTATTAATAATTGTGAAGAGGAAAACAAGTTTCATTCAAGTGTTTACCTGCGAACTTAGCTATGGTTTCATCCTTTTCTCATACTTTTGTCTTCAGGTCTCTGAATATTTTCCTCAAATCCAAAATTTGCATATTTTTATATAGTTTTGCCTGGAGGAGAAAATGGCAACCCACTCCAGTATTCTTGCCTGGGGAATGCCGTGGACAGAGGAGCCTCTCGGGCTACTGCCCATGGTGTCACAAAAGAGTCGGACATGGCTGAGCAACTGAGCATGATATTGTTTTTTCTCAAAATGAGAATTGACAACACATATTTAGTAGCAGCCAATGAACCTATTGAGAAAGCATACTGAATCAGTAAATCCTAAATCTTGTCAAATGGCTCTAATGAACATGTGGAAAAATTTACTAGAAATATTATTCCTAAAAATTTTTTTCCATTCAGCAAATTCACTTAGTTTTTGCTTTTTCTTTCATTTTTAGTAGGAAATACCCTGGATATAAGGGAGCAGCTTTCGGCCACTGTGGGTGCGTTATTTTTTTGTGCCTGATGTTTTCTGTGTGTGTGTGTGTGTGTGTGTATGCTTTTGTCTGCATCCCGATACTTCAAACATTGCATTCAGATTTCTCAAAAAATTTGATTTTTCTTCATGTGTGTTTCCATGGTATTTATATGACTTTTTCCTTTTTCAGATGATATCTGGGGAAAATTTGGTAAGATTCTCTGACAAATCTTTACTCATCTCTTTTAGGACTGCTCTTTTGGTATCTATAAAAGTCCCCACTCTTTCATCCACATAACCTCCATCAGCTCTCTTCTCAATGTACATTCTTCTTTCCTCAGTTTTTGAATATGAGCGTCTCTCTTATTAACTTTTCTCCACAGTTTTTTCCTTATGTTCCATCTTTTCCCATAGCATCTTTTGTTCTCATTGTTCCATACTTATCCTTCCCTGTGACTTTGGCTTTATCTGTCTTCCAGAGACTTTCTATAATGTTTTGTGGATTTTATGAGATGAAAGTGATGAGATTAACTCACTTAATCATGGTTTCCACTCTTTTTTCCTGGGACAAGTTCATTATGTAGGATCATTTCACTTATCCAATTTGAAAGGGGCAATACTATGCTATTGTTAATTTCCTAGTCTTTAAAAGATGAGAAGCTTTCCAATGTGATGGATAAAGTTTATCCCTCCATTTTCCTGAAAAAACTTTATACATTCTAATCTCATTCTTTTGTCCAGGCTGAGCTTGATTATCACTCTTTTATAGCTCTTGATCACCTTATCCACTTATTCTCAGTTTTACTACATTTACATTCCAGTTTTTTTCCTCGCTTTTCTTCCTTTTCAGTTTAAGTGAATATTCTTTGTATTTTTGCATTTTTATTCACACAATTGTTAATTTTCACATTAAAATATATTTTCAATCAGTGAAGAAGGACCTTGATTCTTAAGGAACACACATGTCTACTATATCTCTCAATTTAGAATTTTTATGTGAGTGATTGGGGAAGCTGTGGTCCTTCCCCAATGATTATTTTTATTAAAGAATTAATATAATAATTTAAAGTTTAGCATCCCCCTTTTCTAATAGTATTTTCAATCATTCTTTGGTTTGCAGCCTCATGAGTGTAAACATGTTTGCTTTTTTAATGCGACAACTGGAGGTCTCAATGTGTGACCAATAATTGGTGGGGCCTATCTCAGAAAAAGTACTACTCTAGTGTCTCTCATGGTTTCATTCCCTAAATTAACTACTTTTTTACCAATTAAAAAAAAAAAAGGGTTGACGGGAGTAACACAATATTGCTTCTCATGAACTTCAACGCTCTAGGAAACTTTGGTCCAGTTCTTAGAAATGTTAGTCTAGTTTTAAGGAGAGACTATCCAGGAAATGGTTTCAAATCATTGTTCTTATTTCCTACCCTTGTGTCTTTTATATTTGAATGTTTTTTTTTTTGTTGTTGTTGTTGTTTTCCCCATCTTTTTTTCAGCCTGTGTGGACAGGACAATATGAATCTCATTATTGAGTTATATTTTATATCTAGTCAAAATTCATTTAATTCTTCGACACTGGTTTTCAACTCTCAAAGATCATCTTCCTCAATTCCAACATAGATAGAGTTTTGCATCATATACTCTTGTTTTGTTTTTTGGCTACTGAACTCTACCATCTTTGGGTATTATTCAGTTTCCTCATAATTTTTCTTCGATTTGTCCTGTCCTTGCAATTTGTATGTATTTCCTTTCTGCCAAGAAATTATTACCAGAAATTTATCTGTAAGTTTTTGTAATTTAAAATGTTTTGATATGTAATGTTTCTCCAAGATAACTTCAGTTCATTTCATTTACAACCCTCTTTTCTGCTATTTACTATCTCATTTCCCTTCCTTTCTGACTCTGTTAAAGTAAGCTTTATTAAGGCGTGAGTTAAAACTCATACTAATATGGTTATGTATGAATCAATTGAGAAAAGGTGGTTAATAGATATGCCCAGGATCCTAATTCCATGGTTCTTATAGGTAATTTGAATTTTCTTGTCTTTCCCATAAAATTTACACTGTTTATTCATTTTATTTTTCAGAAGAACATCAGCGCAAATTTGGTACTATATCTTAGATATCCTTTTACTCACCAACAGTTTAAAATGACTGGATTTCTGACCTTTTTTTTTTTTAACATTTCTCAACATTTTATCTATATCCTCTTTATTGGCTCACACACTTCCTGCATGTGTGCACTTCTAACCTGAATTTTTGGTTATGGACTTCCACCATAGTTTTCTCTCTTCTTTGTCCTCTCAAAGAAAATGTAAATTTTGATATCTATCAATGTCAATGGTAAGTTGAAGTTTATTTTTTCACTGACCTTGAATTTATTACCCAGGTTTTCCAGGGTATAAAAATGTTTAGCATATTTTAAATAATTTTTAAAATTGTCAGCAATAGTAATTTTACTTTTCATTTTTATATTTATTGACACAGTTGTCAGTCTGAGAGATTATAATTCCTTTTAATGATGTTTTGAAGGGTTCTATATCATAAAGAAAATGTTCAGTAACAGTGCCTCTCTCTCAAATTAGATTTTTTTTAAGCAAATGATACCAGAACCTATTGCTTGCAATATTTCCTAAAGATTTTTTCATAAAACATGATATAGTCAGTAAAATGCTATTTTATTTTTTTAAATTTTTATTTGAGTATGGTTGATATTACAATGTTGTATAAGCTTCAGGTGTACAGCAAAGTGAATCAGTTGTACTTAGGCAGGAAATTATTCAAGAAATATATTCCTGAATTCTATTTCTTTTGAAAACAAAAGTATTACTCAAAGGTTTATTTTAAAAGAGTATTAAAATTTTAATGAAATCAATAATTTCATATATAACAGAGCAACAGCAAAAATGAGAATTGATAATACATCTTTAAAAGCAGCCAATAAACTGATAAGAGCAACCATATTGAATAATAAAAGCATATATAATGTCAAATGAGGTTATGAACATATGGAAAAGTAAACCTTCAGAAATACTGCTCCTAACATTTTTTTTTCTCTATTCAGAAAATACAATTTTTTTCTGCTTTTTCTTTCTTTTTCTTTTTCTTATTTTTTCTCTTTTCTTTATAGAATACTCTCTAGGTAAGAAGGAGCAGTCCTCTTCTATTCATGGTGAGTTTATTTAGTGTGCCTAAAGTATGTATGTTTGTTTGTCTGTCAGTATCCTGATACCTTGAACATTATGTTCAAATTTTTATAAAAATTTTTTCTTCTCATTAATTTTCATGGTGTTTACATGAATATTCTATTTCCTTTCTCAGAAAATCTTCGGGAATAATTTGATAAGGTTCTCTGTCAAATCTTTACTCCTTTAACTCTTCAATGACAGTTGGTGTCTGCAAGATTCCCTGCCCGTTCGGTTATATGTATGTCTTTGGCTACCCTTCTCCTGGATGTCTGCTCTTCCCTCCCTACTTTTTGTTAATGAGCTTCTCTCTTACTAAGTTCCTCCAGTATTGGTTCCATAGGCTCCATCATTTCTCATTCCATCTTTTGTTTGTTTCATATGTTTCCTTTTCTATAGCATCAACTTCATCTGTATCCCAGAGACTTGCTTTACTTGCGTTATGAATTTTTTGAGATCAGGGTGAAGAGACTAATAGGTCTATGGTTTTCACACTCTATATTCTGAAACAATTTCATTATCAAAGGATCATTTCAAGTATCCCTATTGAAGGGGCCATTACTATGCTGTTGAAACCTTCCCAAACTTTAGAAGATGAGAAGATCCCAAACTTGATGTATGAGTTTTCTCTTTCTTGTCTTGTAAGAGACTATAAAAATTCTAATATCCTTTATGAGTATTTGGTGTGCTTGAGTCTCACTCTTTTATTGCTTTTGATCATATTACTTACATATTCTCATTTATCTATAATCATATTCTAGAATTTTTCATGTCATTTCTTCCTATCCATCTATAGTAAATATTCTGTATTCTTTTGCATCTCTATTTGCATAATCATTAATTCTTCACACCAATACCTTTTTAATGTTTGAAGAAGAATGTTAAATTTTAAGGAAAATTCATGTATAAAATACATCTAGCAACTCAGAAACTTCTACATGAATGACTATAGATGCTGCAATCCTAACATTTTCTTAATGAAGCACTAAAAAATGAAATTTAACATTTTTCATAATTATATTTTAAAATTATATTTTATTTTGCATTTTGAATGGAATTTGAGAACATATTTTTTTAAGTCACATAGCACATTTCATATGGCTGGTTGTACAACTTTGACAGAGGAGTAGTACAGCTTTGACTTTTACTGTAGGTTCTTTTAATCACATTTTAACTTCCAGTCTCATGTTGTAATCATGTTTGTATCAATAGTTTGTTCTAAAATAGTGGATAGCCCAATGCAACACCAGTGATTCATAAGATTTATCCAAGTGATGTCCTGCTATACTTTCTGTTATGATTTCATTTCCTATCTTACTGCTTTTTGTACAGATCAGTGATAGAATTTAAAACATTATTACCTCTCATGGATTATAGAGTTTTTGGAAGTTTTAATGCCAATTCTTGGAAGGGTGGTTCATTTTTAATGAATGAATAATCAATTGAAGATTTTAAAATTATTGTTTTCCTCTCTTCCTTATATTCTGCCTTCATTAGTTTGAATGGTTTATTTCTTCCTTCTTTTTTTTATATGAAAGGACAGGAAATGGTAAGTCCCATTAGTGTATTACACTTTATACCTACTCAAGTTTCATTGGTTTCTTTGGCTGCAACTCCAATTTACCTGGAGCTTTATTTATCTGTCTTTTTCTGTTATTATCCTTGCAACTGAAGTCTGCCATCTTCAGACATTATTCATTTCCCCCTATTTGTTTTTATTTGATGTGTTCTTTCCTTGAAATTTATACACACATTTCCTTTGACAAGGAGTTACTAGCAATAATTTAAATTTAAGCTTTTGCTGTTTTCAAAGTTTCTAATCTGAAATTTTTATCCAAGATAATTTCAGGTGATAAAATAAAATTTATATTTTACAGCAAGGCAATAAAATTTAAAAATAGAATTTTCTCTCTCTGTCCATTTGAATCTCCTCCTGTACTCCTAAATGTGCAATGTACATCTAGTACATCTACCTACTTTACACATTAACCAGACTTCCACAAAGATAGGAAGGCATGCTCAACTAAAGATATTTTTTCTCCTTTTATTCTGACGCTAGCAATGTAACTTCCTAAAAGGTTAACTGTATATAGGATGTTACAGTGACTAGCTACTTGCTTTGTATATGCTTACTTGGACAATGTATCTTTGGTGAACTTCATGTAAAATGTGATTGTCCCTTGTCAAAATATAACTGTGCCTTCCATTTCTAACAAGTAGAACAGTTCTTGGAGATTCTGAGATTCCACCTCCCTGATTATAATCATCAGATTGACTGGAAGAACATTTCTTTTTCCCTTCATAAATTGACTGTTAATGACAAAAATCATTTCAATCAAGCCCCATATCTCTGCTGTTTAATAGCTGATTTATCTTCCTCTTATCTGACACTGTTAAAGTAAGCTTCATGAAGATATGAATTAGCTCACACAAATACAGTTAGGTATCCCTCATAGCTCAGTTGGTAAAGAATCTGCCTACAATGCGGGAGACCTGGGTTCAATCCCTGGGTTGAGAAGATTCCCTGGAGAAGGGAAAGGCTACCCACTCCAATATTCTGGCCTGGAGAATTCCATGGACTGTATAGTCCATGGGGTTGCAAAGAGTCAGACACAACTGAGCGACTTTCACTTTCACTTCACTTTCATGATCAGTTGAGAAAAAATGATGAACAGAGGCACTCAGGAACCTAACCCTGCAGATCCTATAGGAACAGTAGCTCAGGACTCTGTTCTTCAGTGTCTGTGGCATTATGCATAGCGTGAAAACAAAGTGGAAGTGTTGGTCTCTCAGATTTGTCTGACTCTTTGCTATCCCATGGACTATAGCTCCCCAGGCTCCTCTCTTCATAGCTTCAACAATAAGATTAACTATATCTCTTTACCAACAATCAGAAAGCTGCTTAAAGGAAAAAAACTGAGTAATAAAACACTAAACAAGGCCCAATTGATCATGAAAAATTGTATGAGATAATGATGAGAGTTAATATTCTTATAATGATTTATCAGTTCAGAATTTTTCTTCTCATTTCCCCATTTTCTTTTATTAAATACTGTTCTTTCCAGAAAAAAAAAAAAAAACCTCTTTTAGAGAAGTTTGTGTGTATTCATCTGTATGTGTCTGATATTGCTAAATGTGCAATGCACAACTAATATATCCATCTGTTTTACACATTAATCAGACTAACACAAAGATAGGAATGCATGCTTAATATAAAGATATCTTTAGGTGTTGTATTTGTTTGTATATGTGTGTGTATCTACAGCCTAATGGGTTCAATTTTAAAGAGAAAACTTTAACACATTTGAATTTTCTTCTTATGTCTTTCCCATGAGATTTACATTGTTTATCCATTTTCTTTTTCAGAAGAAATCCAACACCAATTTGGTAAAGTAACTTTCAGTTCATGTTAATCCCAAAACACATTAAAATGACTGTATATTTGATGTCTTTAACATTTCTCACTGTTTTATTGATCTGTCATTGAAAGTTTCACGCTACTCTGCATGTCTACTTCTCTAACCTGAATTTTTATGTTGGGGCTTCTCTCCTAGTTGTCTCTCCTCATTGCCTTTCAAAGTCAGTATCAATTCTGATATATTTTAAGGGTCAAGAGTAAAGTTGAGAGTCATTTTTCCACTGACCTTGAACTTATTACCCATCTATTCCCAGGGTATTCATACAAATATTTCACAGAATTTTTTTAGAAAATTTTCTTGCCAGCAATTACAATTTTACTTCCTGTTTTTTTATTTTAATTGGCACAATTTGGGAAACTGCAATTCCTCTTAAACTTGTGTGGAAGGGTTCTATATTTTAAGGAATATTGAATAGCAATATATATCTCAACACTGAATTTTTGTGCAAATTACATGAGAACCTCTTATCCATCAATGTCGCCTAAAGATTTCTTCATAAAACATGAATAAATCCATTAAAAGTTTAAAACTTCACTTTTAAATGACATTTTAGAATTGTATTTTTATTTTCAGAGGGAGTAAAATTTAGGAATGTATCTCTTTCATGCCTATAGGAGGCTTCATCCAAAGGTTGTCACAGCTATTGTATTTCACAAAGGGCTGTTTATTCTCTTTGCTTCCTCATTAAATTATAACCAATTTTGTATGCCTGATGTATGCATGTGTGTTTTCATCTGCATCCCAATACATTGAAAATTGCACTCAGATTATTCAAAGAATTTGATTTTTCTTCGTGTGTGTTTTCTACAGTCTTTACTTGAATCTTTCCAATTTTTTTTTTTTAAGATTATCTTTGGAAAGTAATTGGTGAAATTCTTGGACAAAATTTTATTCCATTAAACTTTTAATGACTGCTGGTGTCAGTAATATTCTCTGCCCTTTTATCTCTATGCCCTCCATTGGCTCCTCTTCTCCCGATTATCCATTCTTCCCTCTCTGTTTCTTCGACATCAGTTTCTTTCTTATTAACTTCTTTCCATTGATGTTGCTTTCTACTCACCATTTCCCATTACATCTTTTATTATGTCATAACTTTCTTTCTTACATCACTGATTTCATCTCTCTTTCAGAGATTTATTATACTTAATGTTTTAAAATTGTTGATGGGAGCAATTAAACTAATAGGCCCATGTTTTCACACTTTATTTTCTGATGTATCAGAAAATATCCAATATGAAGTGGACATTACTATGATGATATCATCCCAAACCTTGAGAGATGACAACATCCCAAACCAGATGAATGAAATTTCTTCTATTGTCCTGTCAAAGCCTGTATAAATTCTGATGTCACTTCAGAGTCCAGGTTAAGTTTGAGTCTCGCTATTTCACTGTCCTTGATCATATTATCCTCATGTTCTTAATTACACCAACACAATATTTCATAATTTTTCCTGGCAAGAATGTTGGTCTATTATTATGAAAAATCTGGAAGGCTCGATACAAGACCGAGGATTGATACAGTTTAACAGAGAGGAAGTCCTGCTGCATATTCAGTCATGATTCCATTTCCTATATTAAAAACTTTTACACAAATGGCTGGGGAGAGGTAAGACAACACTGCCTCATGGGTTAAGTGGTCTTTGTAACTTTTGGTTCCAATTCATAAAAAGTTATGTCTATTTTGCTGAAAAAAAAAAAGAAAAAACAGCAATCTATTGGTTTCAAATGATTGCCCCCTTGTCTTCCTGATTGTGACTTCTCTATGTACAAATGGGTTATTTCTTCCTTTTGTTTTATGAAATGGTGAACTGTCAAGAGGAAAGACTCAGTAGTCCATTACACTTTGTATCTGGTCAGGTTTCTCTAGTTTCTTTGGCACTGATCTTCAATTCTCAATGATCATCTTCAATGTCCAGGGAGCTGTACATCAGATTTTCTCATGTTCTTATTGTTGTAACTGAAGTCTGAAGTCTTCATGTTTTATTCAATTTCTCCCATTACTTTTTCTTCGGTTGTCCTCTCCTTACAATTTATGCACATGCTTCCTTTCTGTCAAGATTATATAAGTAATAATCTACCTGTAAGGTTTTGCTATCTTTATTTCTGATCTGAAAATATTGTCCAAGATAGTTTCAGTTCACTTGATTCAGACCCCCCTTCACTGCTGTTTAATAGCTCATTTAACCTTCCTTTCATCAGACACTTGTTAAAGTAACTTTCATTAAGAATGAGTTAACTCACACAGATACAGTGAGGTATGAATCAGCTGAGAGAGAGTGGCGAATGGAGGCACCCAGGAACCTAACCTTGCAGATCCTATAGGAACAGTAGCTCACCACTCTGTACTTCAGTGTCTGTAGTATTATACATAGCATAGCTTCAACAATAGGATTGACTATATATCTTTAGCAGCCATCAGAAGACTGCTTAAAGAAGAAAAACTGAGCAACAAACACTAAATAAGGTTCAATTGATCATGAAAAATTGAGTGAGATAATTACCAGAGTTACATTTCTTATAATGATTTCTCAACTCAGAATACATATTATTTTATTCATTTCTCCTGTTTTCTTTTATTAAATGCTGTTCTTTCCTCAGAAAACCTCCTTCAGACAAGTCTGTGGATATTCGTCTGTATGTGTTGTTGTATTTGTTTGTATGTGTGTGTGCATCTATGTCTTAATGCATTCCCATTTTAAATACCTATCTTTAATACATTTGAGTTTTTTTCTTGTGTCTTTCCCATGAGATTTACATTGTCTATCCATTTTCTTTTTCAGAAGAACTTCAACACCAATTTGGTAAAGTATCTTTGAAGTCATGTTACTCCCAAAACACATTAAAATGAATGTATTTCTGATGGCTTTTTAACATTTCTCACTGTTTCATTGATCTGTCATTAGAAGCTTCACACTACTCTGCATGTCTACTTCTCTAACCTGAATTTTTAGGTTGGAGCTTCTCTCCTAGTTGTCTCCTCATTGCCTTTCAAAGTCGGTATCAATTCTGATATATTTTAAGGGTTAAGAGTAAAGTTGAGAGTAATTTCTCCACTGACCTTGAAGTTATTACCCATCTGTTCCCAGGGTATTCATGCAAATATTTCACATAAACTTTTTAGAAATTTTTCTCACCAAGAATTGCACTTTTACTTCCTGTTTTTATTTTTGTTGGAACAATTTGGGAAACTGCAATTCCTCTTAAGCATGTGTAGAAGGATTCTATATTTTAAGGAAAATTCAATAATAATATATGTCTCAACACTGAAATTTTGTGCAAATGACACAAGAGCCTATTGTCCATCAATGTCTCCTAAGGATTTTTTCATAAAACATGAATATACCCACTAAAAGTTTAAAACTTCACTTTTAGATGACACTTTAGAGTTGTATTTTCATTTTCAGAGGGAGTGAAATTTAACGCACATAGGAGGCTTCATGTAAAGGTTGCCACAGCTACTGTATCTCACAAAGGGCTGCTTTTTTCTCTTTGCTTCCTCATTTCCTTTTAACTAACTTTTTTCTGTATGGGTGAATGTGTCCATTTCCTTTAGAAAAGATGAAGTCTATTTTGGCATGAATTAAAATAGGAACTCACCTGAAGGTGGTCATGTATTCACTGTTTGATGAAAATGTAAACGCAGGCTCCTAAGAACCAATCCCTGTATTTTCTCTAGAAGTGATGGGTCAGGATCCTCCAGTTCATTGTTTGTGTGCACTTCATACCACAGAGCTACAAAAATGAGGGAACTGATCATTTCTTTCAGTACTAGCTAAAGAACTGGTTAATAATGACCGACAGAATAATTGTAGCCCCTTCCATAGCCAAAGAGATTAAGAACATTTTAAAAACAATACCACAAATACAAATATTCCTGAAATTTTTGCTCATGTCAGTAAGTTCATTCCATATTCTTCTTTAATATTTGACCAGTATATTCAGGTTGAAATGAAGCTTGCAGCCACTGTTGGTACACATCTGTGTGCCTGCATGTATGTGTTTGTGTGTTTACATCCTGATATTTTTAATGTTGTTGTTCAGTCACTGTGTCCTGTCTGACTCTTTGTGACCCCTTGAATTGCAGCTTCCCCTAGCCTCCCTGTCCTCCACTATCTCCTGGATTGTTGAAACTCATGTCCATTGAGTCCGTGATGGCACCCAACCATCTCTTCCTCTGTAGTCTCCTTCTCCTCCTGCCTTTGGTCTTTCCCAGCATCAGGGTCTTTTCCAATGAGCTGGCTCTTCACATCTGGTGGCCAAAGTACTGGCGTTTCAGCTTCAGCACCAGTGCTTCCAGTGAATATTCAGGGTTAATTTCATATAGGATTGACTGGTTTGATCGTCTTGCTGTCCAAGGAAGTCTCAAAATTCTTCTCCATCACCACAGTTTGAAAGCATCAATTCTTTGGCACTCAGCCTTCTTTATGATCCAATTCTCACATCTGTACATGACTACTGAAAAAAACATAGTTTTGACTATACGGACCTTTGTTGACAAAGTGATGTCTCTGCTTTTTAGTATGCTGTCTAGATTTGTCATAACTTTTCTTCCAAGGAGCAAGCGTTTTTTAGTTTTGTGCAGTCACCATCTGCAGTGATTTAGGAGCCCAAGAAAATAAAATCTGTCACTGTTTCTTCATTCCACATCATGTATTCTGCATATAAGTTAAATAAGCAAGGTATCGATATACAGCCTTGGCATACACCCTTCCCAATTTTTAACCAGTCTCTTGTTCCATGTCTAGTTCACTGTTGCTTCTTGACCTGCATACAGGTTCCTCAGGAGACAGTTAAGGTGGTCCGATAGTCCCATCTTTTTAAGAATTTTCCAGTTTGTTTTGATCCACATAAAATCTTTAGCATAATCAATGAAGCAGAAGTATATGCTTTTCTGGAATTCTCTTGCTTTTTCAATGATCCAACAGATGTTAGCAATTTGATCTCTGGTTCCTCTGCCTTTTCTAAACCTGGCTTGTTCATATGGAAGATATCAGTTCACGTACTGCTATAGCCTAGCTTGAAGGATTTTGAGCATTACCTTGCTAATAGCAAATGAAATGAGCACAGTTATACGGCAGTTTGAACATTCTTTGGCATTGCCTGTTTGCCCTGTTTTTCTGTACCACGACAGTGAGAGGGATCTTTTCATCTTATTTTTCAGATGATATTTTGAAGAAATGTGGTAAATTTCTCTGACAAATTTTATACTGCAAACCCTTTAAGTGATCCCTTTTTTTTTTTTTTTTTTGGTGTTTTTAATATTTCCTGTCTTTTTATCTGTATGTCAGCTATTGGTTCACTCTTCTGTTAGATATCAACACTCCCCTTCCCAATATTTTGTTCATAAACTTCACTCATATGAAGTTTTGTCCTCTTTTGTTTTCCTACATTGAAATCTTTCTGGTCCTACTTTCTTTCATTTCACATATAGCCTCCCTAAAACATTGTTTACTTTGGAATGATATTCTGTCTTTTCCAGAGTTTCATGTTTCATTTTTAATTTTATGAGGTGAAGGGCATGAGTCTGTGGGTATCTATAGTATGTGTGTATATGTGTAGTATGTGTATATGTGTAGTATGTGTGTATATGTGTATATATATATATATATATATATATATATATATATATAATTTCTGGAAAATCTTCTTTAAGTTAAAATCTTTGTCATGTATTTCAAGTTCAAGGGAGCATTACTATGCAATTGACGCCTCCCCAAATCATGTAAGGTGTGCTAAGTCTGCAAAGTTGCTGAGTGACATTTCTCCATCCACTGTCCTTTCAAAGACTGTGTAAATTCAGATATAATTCATTGGTTCAACATGGACTTTTAGGCTCACTCTTCCCCTCCTCTCTATCATTTATTCATGTTTTCTCTCTGGTATCCAGGTATTTTAAATATCTTTTCCCAGTTTAAATTATTTCATATCATAGTGATTGTTCTTTTTCTTGCATTTTTGGACATGATTTGGCAAACCACTATTAACTTTTCAGTTCAGTTCAGTTCCGTTGCTCAATCATGTCCGACTCTTTGCAACCCCATGGACAGCAGCACACCAGGCCTCCCTGACCATCATCAACTCCCAGAATTTACTCAAACTAAGTGTTCATAAATGGATTTTATATATTCAGAAACATCACATGTAGAATTTTTTTCAGTTTGAAAGTTTTCTGTGAATAGCGTGAGAGGCTATATACTAGGATACTCATAAAAGATTTTTATAATATATAATATATATTATGTATTATAATATAGCCCCTAATATTTTAAATTATTTTATGTTTTTCTGTTATATTTTTGTTTAGTTTTAGTGAAATTAAGGAATATATGGTTTCATAGCAGGCTTAGTATAACTACTGCTACAAATACAGATTATCCATATATAAAATACACTCTCACTGTAGACATAAGTATCCATAGTTCCTTAAGTATACGACTCATGGGTGGGTGCAGGTTTTTATTGTGTTCTTAAAAATGGAGAAGACACCAATTAAATATGCATGATTAATGTTGTTTATAACAGAAAAATTCCTTTTCTACTTCCTCTAGTTGTGAATTTTCTCAATTTGTTCCCTTTACACAAGGAGATCAGAGGATTTAACACAACATTACCTCTGATTTACTAAATGTCTCTAGAAGTTAGCGCTTCTAGTTCTCAAAAAATATCAGTCAATTTGAACTTTGCACTAAACTAGGAATGAACTTTCTGTTTCCGTACTCCCCCAACTGGAATGTAGCCAGAGGTATTTTGGGTTTGTTTTTTCTTAATACTACATTAGTCATTCAGATTTAACACCCTCCTTTTGTAATGGTATTTTTCAGTCATATTTTTCTTTTCAAAGGGAATGATATTTAGGAATTTATTTCTTTAGTGTGTGTAACCAGTGTCATTTGGCTACTACTACCCCAATGTTTCTGAACAAATGGGTGCTTTTTTTCTTTGCTCTGATCTCTTTCTCAAGCAATTCTCTTATGTATGGGTGCTTGTTTGCATTTTAATCTGAAAAGGTGATTGAGATAAGATGAGCTTCATTTTGGCACGAGCTCTTGGGGATTCCCTGGTGGCTCAGTGGTAAAAATATCTGCCTGCAAAGGCAAGAGATGTGGGTTCAACCCCTGGGTCAGGAAGGTCTCCTCAAGGAGAAAATGGCAACCCACTCTTGTATCTTTGCCTGAAAAATCCCATGGATAGAAGAGACTGGTGGGTTGCAATACATGGGGTCACAAAAAAGTTGGACACAATTTAGGGACTAAGGGCTTCTCTGATACCTCAGCCGGTAAAGAATCCACCTGCAATGCAGGAGACTCTAGTTCAATTCCTGGATGGGGGAGATCCACTGGAGAAGGAAAAGTCTACCCACTCCAGTATTTATTTTGATCTGGAGGGTTGCAAAGAGTCAGACACGACTGAGCGACTTTCACATTCACTTTTCACTTTTAGGGACTAAACAACAACAAATCACTACTTGATGAAAATGTAAATACAATTTCCTAAGAACTAAACCCTGTATTTTATAGTATCCTTTTTATTGTAAGTAGTGTTAATTATAGTCATTATTTATTACATCACATTCTTAATACTTATTTATCTTAAAACAGGAGGTTTGTACCTTCCTCCAATTAACTCATCTTCACCCTGCATCTCATCAGAAATCTGATGTCTTATAAGATATCTTCATGTGTGTTGTGTGTCTTTGTGTGTGTGTTAGTCACTCGGTCCCGTCTGACTCCAGGACAGTAGCCTGCCAGGCTCCTTTGTCCATGGGATTCTCCAGGCAAGAATACTGGAGTGAGTTGCCATT